CGGGATGCACTGCCCTGCATGACCCCGCTCCTGCCTCCGCAGCCCCGCGTGGAGCTGGCCTGGGCCATGAAGGCACACCAGCACGCCCAGGTCTACTTCAACGTAAGTCCTGGGGAGGGGGGTGTGTGTCACGACGACGACGGGGCTCACGGGGACGTGGCGGGGGAGGTCACGGTTAATTCTTCAGTCGTCCTGTGTAGCTCATCTCCTCCGTCGACCCCAAGTTTCTGAACCTCACCAAAGTCGACGATCAGATCTACAGCGAGTTCAGGAGGACCTTCAGGGATCTTAAAATCGACGTGTTGGACCCAGAAGAGCTCAAATCGGAGCCTGCCAAGGAGGTAGGTGGGCAGCAGGAGGGGACACACACACGAATTTTGCCCTCTCTCGCCGGGCTCCAGGGATGCGGCTGCTTCTCTCCCCAGAAATGGCGCCCGTTCTGCCTGCGGTTCGAGGGGGTGGTGGAGGACTTCAACTACGGCACCCTGCTCCGCCTGGACTGCCGCAAAGACTACACCGAGGAGAACACCATCTTCGGTGAGTGAGGACCGGCACGGCACGGAGCCAGCACCCTCCCCGCGAGGAAAAGGGAAAGGCTGAACCCACGGATCTGTGGGTTTAAGTTTTTCCTCTCTTCTCTTTTTTTTTTTAGCCACCAGGATCCAGTTTTTCGCCATCGAAATCGCTCGGAACAGAGAGGGCTGTAACAGCGTCGTCTACAGCAGTGCCAGGGAGTCGGCGGGCGAGGAGGCGGCGTCGGGGTGAGGATGGGGACGAGGAGGGGCACAAAGCCCCCGGTCCCCGCTGCTGGTCCCTGCCCGGGCAGGGGGAGAGCGAGCTGGGCTGTTCCTGCTCCTCCAAGTTCAGCCTCCATTTACAAACTGTAAATAAATGTTTTGGAAAAAAAAAAACAAACCAAAAAAAAACCCCGAAAATAATCCCTTGTGCTGTGGGTGTTGAATGGGTTGTTCCCTAGAACCAAAACGCCGCGAATATTGCTGAATCCACTTCGATTTTGGCTAGACCTTTGCCTGGGGTAGACCCCCTGCCAGGGTACGATCTACCCACACAAATCAAATACTCTCTGTTTTGACCCCCCCCCCCTTCATTTGGGGAAACTCCCCCCGGCGCGGCGCGTGCAGGGGGGGGCTCGGGGCGCAGGCGATGCCCAGGCAGACACGGCTCAGTAGAAACCATTGAAGTTTTATTTGCAGTCACAATGCTTACACTGTATGCAGCAAACACCCTTACAAGTCAACCAGCAATCTGCTCACGCGAAAAAAAGGACCCAACACACAATCGCCAGAGGAAAGAAAACAAAAAAAAAAAAAAAAAAAAAAAAGAGAGAGAGGAAAATAAAATAAAATTAAGAGTAGGTGGTGTCTGGGAAGAGAAACTGAAGCCCTAAGGACCGAGTGTCTGTGGGTAGAGCTGAGCAAGAGGATGCACACGACTAGCAGCAACAATAGTGGAAAAAGTACAAGGCAAACAGGTTCCCTCCCCCATCAGCTTTCCTCTGAAAGTCAATTTTATATCCAAAACATTTATTATGGTGACTTAGGGAAAAAAAAAAACCAAAAAAAACCCACCAACCAAAACCAAACCCAACGGAATCATTTAAAAGGGGGTGTTAAATACTTCATGCGAGGCAAACCTTGTTATTAAGAACCCTCCGAGGCGGCAGGTTGGCGCTGCCGGATCGGTCCCAGCACAGGCGCGCGCTGCTGCGAGCTCCGGGTAGAGGCGGGGGGGAAAAAAAAAAAAAAAACCCAACAGAAAAGGAGAAGGCAGAGTGAGGAGAGTGCCGCTGGGCAGGGGGGGTCCGGAGGGAGAGGGAGGGAGAGGGCCCTGCGAGAAGCGGGTTGACGAGGGGACAGGGGAGAGCGCCTACTGCTACACCGGGGGACAGGAGAGACACCCACGAGCAAGCACGAATGAAAAGATCACGCGGCATGGCTTAGAGTTCCTAATAACAAGGGCAAGACGGTAACAGGAAGTTGTGATTTCAAGGGGCTTAATAAGAAAAAATATACATTTGGAATTTTACAATGCCTTTTTTTTTGTTGTTGTTTTTTTTTTTTTTTTTGCCTTCTCTCTACGCTTGTCACTAAATATATCTCTGCACTTTCACACACCCACCCCTCGCCCAGTAAAGCTTCAGGCCTGCAGGACACGCTTTCCTCACTCGCATACACAACCCTCACGCCAGCACCGGTGCACCAGGACTCTGTAAAAATTTCAATCACACTTGGTTGTTTGTTTGTTTGTTTTTTTTTTTTTTCCTTTTTTTGTTTTTTTTTGTTGTTTTTTTTTTTTTTTAAACTGAGTCAATATAAACCTTGTTCAAAATGTTATGAAAAAATGTACATGTTTATACAAGGCAGGCTGCAGCAGAGCGCTGGCGTTCCACGCAGACATTCGGGTAGGGAGACGCTGGATTCTTGCACCTGGCTTATGCCCTTCCACCCCCTCCCACGGAAACAGAAGTACCCTGCCCCGGTGAGCTCAACAACCCCTCCTGTTCCCTCCTCCCTCGGGACGTGGAGTACGGCCCAAAGCGAGCGCCGCAATCCAGCCCTGGGGAAGAGCAGGGATTAGAAACGCCCTCTTTTCTTTCCATCGGAAACGGTAACCCCTCTGGGCCAGGCCAAAGGGATGCTGCTCTGTACAGGTGGAGTTGGGAGACGTCAGCTCATCATGTCGTTGCTGTTCACACCGTAGGTGGAGTTCTTCATGGAGTCGTTCACCTCCCGCCTGAACGCCGACAGGTTTTGTGTAAACCTAAGGAAAAGGCAGAGCAGCGTGTCAGAGCAGGGGGTTGCCCGTTCCTCCTGCGTTTTCATCTCCACGAGGACCACGGACCCTCTCGGCTGCGCTTCTGCATTAGGCTGCGGGCTCGGCACGCCCCGGGATGGACCCACAGCACGCCCCAGGACCAGCCCAGCCCCACAGAGGGGGCTCTGGCCCATACCCACCTGTCCCTGTTCTTGGTTAGGAGGTTGCGTTCGATGCCTTCCATGAGGTTCTCAAAGCAGAGGTGCATCGCCTGCTGTTTCTCCGGAGGCTGGCTGTTCACTATACTGTTCCTCAAGTCGGAGAAATACTGGAGGGGGGGAGACAAGAGAAGGACAGGTTAATTTTCAGAGGAATAGCCACCTTGGCTTTGGGACATGCGTAACGGGCTCTCGGGAAGAGGGAGAAAAAGCGTTGCAGCTCTTCAAGTGCCCTTACGAACGAAAGCGAATGGGATTGCTTAGCGCCAAGGCTGCTGCAGGGGAGGGCTGGACACCCTTCCCTCCACACACCATCTCTCCAGTCCCCGTTTCCCAACCACCTGCTCCGACACCGTTCTGCTCCCTTCGACCCGAAGGCTCCAGCCATCATTCAAGCCCAGACAGCTCCTCCAGCTACGACGGGGGGTGGGATGTTTACCTTTTCATTGAGCAGTATCAAGCCAAGCAGAGGCCGAGACATCGACCACTGGTTCCTGCAGTCCTCAAAGATGATGATATTCAGCACTGTTGAAAGCATCTGGAAAAGGGAGAGGGTGAGGTTTGAAACCAGCCCTTCCATCCCTGCTCTCTCCTCACCACGGCACCGTGCAGGCTCAGGAGCAACGATTCACCTTTGATGGTGTTGGAGCCTCAATGCTACAGAGCTCTCAGCACCACAGGGCAAGAGGAGGACCTGGAGCCCCCATGAACCGGTGGAGAACTTCACTGAAGGCACGTGGAGGAGGGTCCTGACACACTCCATCCTGCCGCAAGGCAGCCAGCGGAAGATTGTCTCATCTTCACTTAAACGAGGTAAAACCAAGGGCTTAACTGCAGAGAGCACGTGCTCTGGTGTCCTGGGGAGCTTCCTCTAGCCCACACCAGAGGTGTCTGCGTTCCTCTCCACAGCCTCCTCAGGCTAAAGCCAACACCTAACCTAGCTGGTTTGGAAGATGCAGTTTTTCTTTTTAATCCTCAGGAAACGCAGCTTCTAGCCCCCAAAAAAGCCTGCTTTTCTTTGCATTTGATCTACCAGCAAGGATGGAACAATATTCCCTGCTTTCACGTGGGAGTCACGCTGACACTTTGTCAAGTACGAGGGAGTGAGGTTGGATAACACCATCAGAAATGCACTGAGCAGTGCTGTTCAAAGCAGCACAGCCAGGCGGGAGGCATATAGAAGTGTTTTGCTCTAAGGTACGGATGTCCAGATCCCAACACAGAGCCCTCTGGAGCACCAAAACCTCTGCGAGCGGAGTCATCTGTCATTAAGCGACACAGAGGTACCTAAACCACACGGTACGCGTAGGTATATGCTGAGCTGAGCCTTATCTAAGCCAGGAAAAATCTCAGCTCACTATTGATCCTCTGCAATCGCAGACGCTCCTGACCCAGAGAGAAGACAAATCTCAGCAAGCTCCGCGTTTATCAGAGGTGTTGGGGATGGAGGCAGGAGACAGATGGCAGATGTGCTACCAGCATATAAAACTCGATTTTATATCGAGTTTGTTGTTTATATCGAGTTTATATCGGCCTGCAGAGGCCGTTCCGACGGCAGGCGCGGAGGGTGCCAAGGCAGCACGTACTCCGACAGGCTGCAAGCCCCAACCTTCACGTGGTCCCAACACAAGCGCCACAGCAGAGAGACTGCGCCCGTATCCTGAAGTCTACACAGAACCTTAAGCACGGGGACCCCACGGTGCCTGCTCTGCCGTGAGTCTACATGTCCCGCTGAATTTTTCCAGGGATTTAAACAAACCCTGTTTTTTTGGTTTTTTTTTTAAAGCAGAAGAGTGCACGCTCTCTGGCTGAAGATATGTTTCCTGGCTTCATTTCTATGAACGGCCAGCACTGCCTATAACTGTATTTCTCTTAAAAAAGGAAAAACGCAAAGAAAAGATAAAAGCTCATTTTTGGCTACTTCCTTTCATATCTGAAATGCAAAAATGGAGTTCCTTGCACAGGGAGAGCCACGGCCCTGAAGCATGGCTTTGAATTAGACCTACCATATGATGAATGCGTAGGAGAGATGTAATACTAGCAAAAAATAAATAAATAAATCTTTTTTTTTGCTCTGGAAAAGCCTGGGGCTCTAGAGCAGGGAGCATGCAGCCCCCACATGACATCACGCTAAGAAAATTCAGGGCTTATCGGGGAGTTTACCGTGCCATGCCACAACAAGGCCCTACGCCTTCGGTCTTTACCTGCTGAATCATCTCCGGGTGCTGCTGCATAATGTGCAGGAACCGGTCGCTCTCCTGGGTCAGAGGTGTGGTCCTCTTCTTGGTGCTGCGAGAGAGTTGCTTGAAGAGATAGGTGACGATGTGGTCCAAACAGGAGCAGCAGCCTGTGCAAACCATGGTGTCTGCAGGAAAGGGGAAAGGGGAGATATTGGGGCACCGCCAGCATTTCCCTTGTTCAGATGCACCCGGAGAGGCTCCCAGGGAAACACCACCATTTATCTGGGTCCTTTTAGGGACTTTGTGAGCAAGAACCACCTAACCCTAAACAGGCCAGCAATTTCCTCATTGATACATTCTCTATTTCTAATGTTCCAGCTTTAACAGAGCTGAAACTCCTCCACCCATTCACATGGTACGTCTTAGCTTGTTAGCCTGAAATACTACGCGTTAAAAGCTACCAAAAAATCTTTCCCCGCTCCCAAATCAAAGCCCTAAGAGCGCAACAGAGAACAGAAGCAGTTACCTAGTGCAGTGAGGCCTTCGGAAATGGAAGAGAGAATATACATGATTACATGAGGCTCCAGACTGG